GCCCTTGGAGGGTGCCTGTTACATTGCGCAGAATCCTCCAGGGGGCGCTCTCTGCAAAAGGAAGGTAAACGTCAGGCGCTTCCCGATTGGTGGACTGGAGGGTGAACGTCACAGCTGGCTCTCCAGGGGAGGCGTGGCATTACAAACTCTTGCCGCTCTAGGATGGCGCACTCGCTCTCCTTAAGCTTTGTGGCGGTGAGGCTGCGGGAGAATCTGGCGGGGGGAGATCCAGACGTATCCCGGGTGAGGGGGCTGCTGTTCCCGTGCAAAGGGAGGCGGAGGAAGGAGGGAGAGACCCGCGGCCGTCCCCCTTCGGCTTCAACCCTCGGTCCCATGCTCTCCAGCCGCCCGCTCCATGCAGGGGGAAGCGGAGCTCCGGAGGACCAGGAGAAGAACCGGGGATCCCCAGGAAGGCCGCGGGGATCCGGGGGTCCCTTCCCGCCCGTATCCGGGAAAGAGCCCGAGGGGGGGGAGAGGAGGGTCGGCCTTGCGGAGGTCCAGCGAGGCAAGATTGTGTGAACCTGCCAGCTGTCAGAGGGAGACTGGGCTCTCCAAAGGCCACCCTGAAGAAGGGAAAGGGAGCATCCTCAGGGTCAGATAACCGATTAACAGAGTTGGGATGACGCGAACTGAAGTGTTTGTCTGTTTTGGTTTTGGCAGTGAACCCTACGTGCAGGTAAAGGTAGATCTAGGTTTTAAAAAGGAAGGCCTTGTAAGTAAAAATATAAAATACTCCAGTTTAACATACTCACACGCTCACACGACTCATCGCAAAGCAACGTCAACCCCTATGCCAGCTCTGAAAAATACTTCCTTCCATCGGATGAGTGGTGTTGTTCAGTGGTTAAATCCATATTTTCTAATTCTTGAAATATATGTTCTTTTCCATCACAGATACACGAAGTGGAAGCCATTTGTACGTCTTCACATACAGCCAAAGTATCTCCGCTAAAGTGAACTGAAGTCACTCCGGTGGGAACAGAAACCATCCTCTGGATGAAAAGACATTTTGAGATCTAAAACATTCCTTGGAGTTACTCTGGAGACAGGGACAGAATGGAGACACAACTTTTAGCAAGTGATGGAAAAGAAAAAGACCCTTCTGCTGTTCAGGATGGAAGCTGTGGGGAGATCTGGGCAAGAACTGGGCAGGAGATCCTGGAGGAGGAAACCACCACCCATT